TAATATGAGATTCCAGAATTATGCTTCTGTTTTTTCCCGTGATATTTCATACGATAGGTTTTACAAAATTTTATCAAATTAAAATTAAAGTATCTCCTAAATCAATGGTTTTTCGATGTACATAGGAGTTAATTTATCGAACATTTATATCATTTCGGTTGCTATTAATGTTAAGGAAAAATGACTAAATAGGATTTAAATGGTTTCAAGCTGTCTATTTGATGTTACTAAAAAAAATTTTGTGAGGTCATTTCGACAATTTTTTTTTTCAAGATTATCGTATTTTTATAATGTGACGAAAAAATGGATTTCATTCAGAACAGTATTTCTGAAATACAAAATTGTATTTCATGAAATATTTATTTCGGTGTTACACCTTGAAACCAGTTATTAATAGCAATCGAAATAATTTAGATTGTGAAAAATTAACTCTGTATTTTATAAAAAATGTTGGTTAATGATTAAAAATTATAGAGAAAGTGTCTCACTTCTAAGTGATCGTCATTCATAAAAAAACTAAGTACACACATTATGATTCTCTTGAAATCATTCATTTTTTATTTAAAACATTTTTTTATACAACAAAGAATTTATTAGCAATTTGTATTTATAGATTAAAATTGGATGTGTAACTTGCTTTATTGTTCTTCATAATGGCACTACGTTTAAAGCTTCCTTATTCGTTTCTAGAAACTGATTTCTTTGCGTTTTAAATAGTGACTAAATCGACGCAACTAAAAAGAGAATTAGAACACAAAATGTGAAGATAAAAAAGAAAAAGAGAACGTATATTTGTCATAGCATATAACCTATGCTAATTATATATATATTACATAAATTATAAATATTAGCTGAACGATTTTTTAAGAATAACAATATCACGTTATTATGCTAATATTACAAAGTCGTAATAATTACGTAAAATAATAATTATGAATATTCGAAAATCAGGACATTGCAATAGTAATAATATCTTAAGGATATCAGGATATTGAATGAAAAATAGGATCAAACGCTGAAAAATCGGTCCTAAAGAAAATGGGGATGATCAGAACTTTGAGTTTTTCGAATAAAAGAGGGAAGAGTTCAAGAAATAAACATAACTTAGAGACTTTTTAGTTGATAATGCAGGAGTGTGGCCTCTTAAAAAAGATCCTTAGAAATTATTATGTATCATCTAAGATTAGAAAATATATTAAATATTTATTAAATTAAATTTATTAAAATATAATATATTAAATTATAATATTTTTAAAATTGTTAATTATGTATGTCAAAAAATGGTTCAAACATGTTCTATTTTGAAAAAATAATTTAACATAATTAGTTATTCTAGCCTTACTTATTAGATGAACGCGAAGGTCAATTTTATTCTTCTAAATAGAACATTTTTCGCAGATATAATCGATTCATCTCAACGTTTTTTATAAAAATATATTAACCATTTTATTTTGCAAAATTCATAATACAACAGATATTTTAATTTTAATTTTGAATAAATTTTTCATGCAAGACTAAGGAATATAGAGAGAGGTTTACTACTGCGTACAGTTATAGTTAGATAGACAACTTTTGCAATGTTATCAATTAAAAGCAGAAATCGTATTTCTTTTTTTTTTTTTCTATTCAAAATAAATAGTATGTCCAACCTTTTCTCTACACAGACTAACAGAATTATTCAAACATTTATCATAATTATTCGAACATTTTAAAGAATAAATTATGTGTGTATAAAATATTTTGTAATTTTATCAATATTATGAGATTCCATCTTATATTGGTGAAATTTAAAATAAATCTGAAATTGCATATTTGAAAGATATTTAATACTACTATATACACTATATACGGAATTAAAAATTTAATCGATCAAAATGCGAGGGATTAATTTGCAGATGTTATATAATGTTATATAAAGTTGATCCACAAACGTTTTGTTTCAGAATTTTGTTACAAATATTATATGCATGAAATAGGTGATTCATGAAATAGCGATGCATTTTTCTTCCCGCATTTGACCATTTGAATTTTACTTATGAGGAAAACAACGATTTATTAAATAGAAGTTTATTTAACTGAGATAGAAGTGTCATCATATAAAGGAATGCAAAAAATTAAGAGTGCAAATTTTATTAAAACACAACAACATTTTCGAGAATTTCGTAATGTTATTAATTATATTTCTATCAAGCTTGTATCCAAGCATAAAGACAACACATCGAAATAAAATTAAAATTAAAAGTACCAGGGAATCATTTTTTATTGTATTATTGTGATTTGTAACAATATGAAATTGTTATCATATGATAAAAAATACCCATGCACTTAACTACGTCAACATAGTAATACAGTCAATTTCTGTGTTGTAATCAAAAATGTCATGCTGTGTTTTATGTATGCAATATTTGTTTGTAACTATGTAATAAAGTGTTTGCCGACGAATTTTATATATATATATATATATTTTTTTTCCCCTTCTTTCTACCTAATTAAGCATTTGTAGTTTGGCCGTTTAAGTTTGAGACATTCTATATTTATAGTATAATATCTCATAAACATTTAGTATACAATAGTGTATAATATTTCATAAATATTGTAAAAGTATTTAACCTCTTTGGTTTAGTATGTAACCGTACGTTACATACTTTGCAACGCGAGGTACTTTCATATAACATGTATTCTATAATAACGCATACATATATGCTACGTTTCTAATATATAAAAAACATAATTCTTGAAGCGCAGTTAAAAAAATTACGAATTATATTATTAATCCAACTATGATAAATATATATAGAAACATAAATATATACACGTTGATCGTTTTCTATGGGAGCCTCATCATTTTCGAATGACATTTTTTTTCGTCTAGTTAAATAGGCTTCTACAAGTAATATCAATATGTAACAATTTTATTTGTAATACAAGTGTTTATATTAATACATGTACATATAGATAAAAAAAGTATTTTCTCTGAACTTGGAACCTGATGGAATTTTATTCATATGTATAGTTCTTCTGAAACTGAACACTTTATCATTAGTATTAGTATTCTTATTTTTAATTATATTTTTATACTATTTGACAGACATTTTGAGAATAAAAGAAATGCGTGTAAATGCTTCAAACTAAATTGAACAAAGTAGAACAGACAGCTGGAAAAATATTTTAAACAAATGATTATATTATCTCCATTTTTTGTATCGGATTAGATTAAAGCTATTCTTTAGCTGTGACGAACACTAATGTCAACTCGAGAGTTCGACGCTACAGCGTCTTACGTACAAATTATTTTGTTGTTGAATTTATTTAGGCCTAAATTTATAAAGGCCTACCAAATGATGACTTATCAAGAAAAGACTTACTAAGAAATAAAATTGTAAAAAGAATTAAAAACTAGAAAGAGATCGCTTCTTAAAATAATCGCAATTATGGTACAAAAGTACACATACCGTTTATGTACATATACATTTTATGCAATTGATTTCTCCATTAATTATTATATAGAATATTACACTTTGGATATTTTATATATTTTTGCATGTTACATTTATTCAGTGGATTTCTGCAACTTCAGATTTCTTATAAATGCATAAAAATCTGCAGTTTAGTAATATAGTCATTTGATCTAAGAAATTGCACGAAAGTTAACAGACTCGTAGTTAATCGACTGAACCATTATAAAAGAATTACGAAAATAGTTGAAGTGGTTAATAGTTTGCTGCAGAGAAGCATTTAAGTCGAAAAGGTTACACAGTCAATTATTTATTATATTAATAAACCCCAAGTGGGACCATTTCTCTGATATTTCTCTTATCTTTTCATAATCGATCTCGGTCGTTTACGCGTGAAATTTATTCGACGAAAATTTTCCGAAGAAAAATCTTTTTGAAGATTTGACTTCAATAATTGAATATGTACATAATATAGTAAAGTCTTCATTGAGTAACCCAAAATGTTTTAGAAAAGAATTAGACGTTGAAGAGCTTAGCCTTCTTAATTGTTAACAAAATATTACTATTCATTGTACATTGAATTTTTTACTTGATATTTTCACTTGCATTAAATATCTTGTAATTTCTATATTTAGTTCCAAATTTCACTGATACAAGTAATTATGACAGCCGTGTCTCATTTAATATTTTAGAATGTTTTGCACAATGTATGCAACAGAAATATATAAGTTGTCTAATTGTAAGTGTAATTTTCTAAATGTTCGAATAGTTATTTTGAGTTTATTCTGGATGTTAGCGGCACGCATTCATGATGTTATGGTTGTAATATGGTTACAGGTTATATGATTTGATCGTGTGTTGCAGTTATCTGATCAAGGTGTAATCAAAATTGTACTTATTAAATATACTCGTAATGAAGCATAAAAGTTTGAACATAGCACTGAAATTAATAATAAAATAAAATCTCTTGGGTTTCCTATTTCAGCCGATAGGCTGGGCAGGACAGTTAAAATTCTTGTATCTTTGCAATCGAGCGAAATACCCACTTCACGTCTCTCGAAGTCGGGACGTGAAAAACGAGCAAAAACGACGAGAACTGAAAAGCGCGGGCCGATGGGTAGCCAGCAGGCATCGCTAACACGTTTCTCCTTTCATTTTCAGCCGGTGCGGTAGTGATCGTGGCCTCGAAGCGAGTCCTTTTACGGCGGGGACGAGCATCGAAAGCGGAGGAGAGAGCCTCCCTCCCTCTCTCTGTCTTTCTCTTTCTCTCCCCGATCGTCCACTTTGGCCCACAGACGAATCAAACCGGCACGTCCACAGTGTAAAGGACGACGAACGAGTGAAACGAGGAGAACCAGATTGCCACAACGGCGAAAGAAAGACGGATTGAAAACTAGACGGCCAGGTTACGGAGCTATCATGGAGTGAAGCGGTTCAGCAACGTGGAAGATCGTAAAAGGAGAAAAAAAAAAAAAAAAAAAAAAAAAAAGAAGAAAGGG